AAAAAAACCCCCTCTGGGGTCTTTGGGGCCTTCCTGTTCTGTTGTCGCGCAGGCCGGGAGCTCGCGCGCATGCCGCCGGTGATCGCAGGCAGGCAGGCAGGCAGGCCTAGGTGGACTTTCTAAAAGGCAAAGTGAATACATTTCACTCCCGTGTCAAGGTGTAAGAAACTTTTTTCTACCAAATGAAGACTTCAAGGTTACTTGGTCTAGAGTGAAAAGTGGAATTGCCTACATCTTGGGTTGTATCAGTGCTCTGAACAAATTACAATAATCGAACCCTGATTCTCTTGGAACAGAGAGCTGATAAATCAGTGACTTCTCTATGACTTTGACAGATCTTAGTCTTTCTGACAGTGGAGAATATCTGTGCAATATTTCTTCAAAAGAATATACTTTACTCACAGTCCACACACTGCATATAGGTAAGTTGAAGGTAGGTTAAATAGAAAGTTTTGGCTATAGCAATAAAAATTTGTGCATATCATGCAATCTATTAGGTTAACTTTAGAGAAAAATTTAGTACCTCTTAAAAATGTCGTCTACAGGAACACTTCTGGTCAAGATGTAGAAAACTGGCCTTTCTATGACTGCACAAAACTCTTATACTGAAAACAAATACTCCCGTGAGATCTCCTTTTCTTAGTTTCAGGGCTTCAGAAATTAAGAGGAACCTATATACCTTAGTGACTCTGGGGCTAAGTATCTTCAGCCTATGTTCATGGCTGTATGTAATATGCGCCTTACAGCCTGGGGTTTGGGGTTGAGATTACAGGCACAGTAGGAAGTTAGAACTGGGGCTCCACTGGAAGCTGAGAAAACATGGCATTCATTGTACATTAACCTGGTGGAAATAATAACCACCTGACATATGAAACACTATGTATGCATGCTCAATTCAGTTTACTTTTTAAAGTCTTGATAGTTAACTGCAGAAAATTTATTATTTAAAATACTTCTAGTCCAGTAACCAAAGAGTCAGGGTATATGTACGATGAAGGTGGCTTCCCAAGTGACCTGGTTGGTCCCCCACCCTCAATCTATCAATTTGACATGAGGGGCGGTGGTAGCTTGAGTTCTGCTCTTTAATAAAGGGTATTTGTATCCATGAAATATGTGCAGTTTCAGAAATTTTTATCATTCCAATTACAAAGATGCGGAATAACACATTTCTTTAGAGGTATAGCTATTCTATGTAGTAAGACTAGAAGAAAGAGCTCAGAGTTATTCTCAGGTTATACGGTCTGACAAAGAAGCGTCTAGGTACAAAGTTGCAATACTCCCTTTGTAGAGCTGCCACTTTGGACTGTATAGAATGAAAAAATAGGATGCATCTGAAGCTTCTATCTCTCTCTAAAATAAGAGTGTCAGTTTTATGTAAAATGCAGTTAAGCCTGCATTCTATTTTTAAAAGTGTTGCCTCATGTTGGATTCATTTTCGAGTATAGAAAAATAATCAGGAAGAATCTGTCTGAAGACCGCATATGGCCCCATTCCTAGCCAGAAATATAATTTCCAGTTCACATAAAGTGAAGCATCAGGACTATTCCATCTCTGACAAAGAGGCTTTTCAGGATCTCTCATACCCAACTTAACCACAGCCAGTGAGGACTGGGGAAGGGTGGGCCACAATCCCTCAATAAAGAGACCTGGAGCAGGAGCCACCCAGGCAGAGAAAAAAACGCGGCAAATAGTCATGGTACCCTACATATTAGCCTTTCAGGAAAACTTGATTTTCTAGGGGTTGGGGACATAGATCAGTAGTAGAGTATTTGCCCTAGAATGCTGAAGGCCCTAGGTTCAATCCTTAGAATCACAAACAACCCCTCAAAATGAAACAAAATCAGTTTTCCATTCTAAATTGCAATTTTTTCCATTTGTTTGCCTTGTCTAGGTGATGACATGGCATATGAAAAGAAGGTCCAGATTTGGGGAGGGGTGCTTATGAATCTTATAATCTAGATCTGCCCAAAGAGTTGCACCAAACTAAATGAAATTAAATAATTTTTTCTAAATCTGTACTGCTGAATCAGGATTGTGACCTTGGACGAATCCCTTTAAAATGAGGGAACTGGGGGTCATAGGTGAAGTGAGAGATACCAATGAATACCTGATAGGATTTTCTTGGGAGGAAAATGTGTATGAAGACATATTATAGTGCAAGCCTAACATTTCTACTTTATTTCTCTGTTATAAGAATATAGAATTTCAGAATGTCTCAAATAGGAGATGAGATCATTTTGTTGCATGTAAAACATTATCAAGTAATAATAGTATGTTCATAAAGACTGATATCTATTATGTAACCATGTATCCTCCAAGCCAAGTGTGGATTGCACCCTTTTCTCATGGGCCCTGAGACAAGGCTGGTTTGCAGTTCTAATTATCCCTTTGTAAAAATTGTGTTAATCCAAGTTTTTAGTCATTTTACTCTTTTTTTGTTGTTGTTGTTGTACCAGGGATCATACTCAGGTCCTTGCACTTGTGAAGCAGGTGGCAGAACCACTGAGCTAAATCCCTGGCCCCTCTTTTCAACCTCTTGATCTTCACCTCCTGTCAACCCTAAATTGGTTAATACTACATTGTCTAGGTTTCCTATTAAAGACACTGAACCTGGGAAATACTTATCCTCATGGCAAATTCTCCCATCAAGCCTCGAGTCTTGACTTGATCTTTAAAGGGCCAATCTATTATGTACAGTGTTTTCTTATGAATTCTGCTCCCATCTGAAATGCAAAAATAGTGTTTAAAATAGTAAACATAATCCACCTCCACCCATCTATCCCCACCCTTCTTTTCTTATTTGGTAAATTTTCTTTCAGTTCACAAACTTTCTTTAATTTAGAACCAAGCCAAGGAATAGCTTCCTGGACAATATCTCTTCTGGTGGCTTTATCAATTTGCATGTTGTTTCTGACTTTGATAGTAAAATTTCATCATGAATGGAAAAGATACCTAACAGGTAATATGGGGAATTTGGCTCTATCCCTGAGTATGGCATGTCTTGTGTATTACAGCTGGCATGGAACATACACTGCTGACTGGGCATGTAAACAGGTCTTACTTTTCTGGACAGTCACTTTTAAAATTTATTCTTTAAAATGCTTTTACATTTCTACCTCAGTGTCCTACTACCAAAACTGTATCCTGACAAAGTGATCAGGAGGCTCACCAAGCTCAACAAGCACACCCACGGTAACACATTGGTATTGTTTCCAGGTTTTCTATTTTTATAAGGGACCTGATTGAATTAATTAAAAATTATAGGTAATTTTTAAAAACCTAATTTCACAGTAAATTAATAAATAGGATGATCTAATCATCCTGCACTGAAAGGTAGCCAGAAAGGAAGAAGCAAACTTTAAAAAGTTGTTTTTGATGACCTGACCATGAGTTGGCTCTATCTTTATACCTCACCCACTTAGTTCTTTCAGTTATGGGCTTATTTTCTCCTGCTCTGATCTTAGTCAATACTTGGTGCTTTCCCAAAATGCAGTATCTTTGTAGCTCATTTTAATCCTTGCTAAATTAATTTTTCCTAAATTTCAGGTAAAAAACATACTACTTGCAGTAATTAAAAATGATACCATCTGATACTATGGTCACAATTCTCCTTAAGTATTTTGTATTAATGAATAGCATTTGAGCTGGAGGGAATCTAGACAGAACTCAGATCTAGTTTATCTCCACATTTTATTTCTATACCCTGGGAAACAGGAATCCAGGAAGTTCACTCAAGTGCTAAGTGGGTTTGTGAAACAGATTTAAACGCACTATCTAAGGCCTCCCACTAACTGGTAGGTCTAATCTCCTAGAAACTTTCCATCATTCCTTCATGCTTCTGAGAAGGGGTTGGGTGTCCTGGGAGGTTGAGACAGACCCATGTCTTTTCTGTAAATTCCTTAGGTTGACATTTCCCACTGTCCCCACTAAAGGTAGAGGATTTTTGGTAATAGAGAAACTGAGACAAGATAAATGGGCCTGGTGCTGCCCAACAGCTACTTTTATTACATAGCTCCCTCAAATACCTTGCAGCCAATCTGGCTACATCAGGTATCTCATGGCTGCTCTGGGAGACACTTGCTTTGATTGGAGCAGGCTTCAGCCACGGACCCTTTCACATGACTCCACAGTGAGGCCTCTGAATGACTGCCCCTCTAAAGTCCTCACTCAGATCTGTGAGGTTCTCCTCACTTACCCATGATGAAACAATGTCTGATGCAGTGCATGTGTGAGCCCACCTTTTTGCTTTATAGGCAACTTCCTGAAACCTTTTAGTGGGCTAGGCTCGTGTGCTGTTTCCTCATAGGCTGCAGTATAAATCCTAGCATATTCTGGCCTATTCATGACTTTTATCTGGAGCAGAGCATGCTGATCTGGTACACCAGGAGCTGGCAATACCAGCTGGCATTGAAAGATGCCTACAGCCAGAGCTTGTAACAGTGCAGTCCACTGGTAACAGAGAATGATGCAGGGCAACAAAGAATAGCTGAAATCACCATCTCTGGTGACTGGAAGAGTTCCTGAGGCCTGGTGCTAGCTACTGTGTCTGAGCTGCAAGGAGATAGGATATGCTAACACTAAAAGAGCTGATAGATGCTGGCAGTTTGTATGAATTGAGCAAGAACCCTTGGCTAATTGGTAATATCTTGGAAGCTAGTGTGGGGACAGTGTCCTTTAAAGGGCCTTGAAACAGAAGGCAGTCAGTGGTTATGAGCCTCGGCAGGCTCAAGAACCAGCCCTTTTTGTGTTTTTGTCTTCTCCCTGGTTAAGAGCACTACAGCCAGTGACAAAACCATCATCAAGAGTTAAGTTGTGAGAGTTTCACCAATTGTGTACTAATAGGCAGGCTGGTCCTCTTGTTATTCCTGTTCCTTGGCTAGCCAGAAGTAGTCATAGGAGTTAGATCACAGGTAGTCTAGCTTGTCCCCCCAAAACCACCCCTGACCTAATATAACAATGGCAATACTAATACAATGATTGTTCTAGATTCAAATTATGGGAGAGGGGCTATCGCAAATCAGTTTCTACATTGAAGTCTCCATAAGTCAAGTTCCAACAGAAAACACATGGAACAATTAAAACTGTACAAAATGAGCATGGAAGAGAGGACATGAGAGGACACAAGAGAGTGAGTAGTTCCCAAAACCTGGAAGGAGGGAGGGAGTCACATAACATACCAAAAAACTTAATGGAAAAAAAAATCACTGACTTATAGGAGAGTGACTTAAATCAAAGGGTAAAGCCAGGCCAAGGCCACCTTATAGGGCAGGAGCCGGGAGAATGAATACCAAATTGAACTCTCCCTGATCTTGAACCCATTTAGGGGCCAAAAGGAACAGGCTGCTGATAGAACCCAACCCAGTAAGTCTCCTTGGCAGAAAGCAAATAAATTGTGGTCCTAGAGGAGCAGTCAGAAGACATAGGCAAATAGTGTTAGGACCCTGACTAGTTAATAAAAAAGCTCTGTAGTTCTGCAGTTTAGTAGGATGAAAAATATAGAGTCGTTATACTAAGTACCACAAGACCTGGCCTACCTCTAGGTCCCTGGTTGTGACTTCATATGATGTGTGTGTGTTCTAAATTTTTTTATTACTTTGTTTTAAAATGCCCTTAATCCAGGATATATATAAAAGGACCATATTTTTAGTGTGTATATTTTGCTCATATCCATTGAAACCCTTTTCCAAAATGTAAAGCTAGCAGAGGGCAGGGCAGCAAGGGGATGATTTGGGGTGAAAATGAGCAAAGAATATTATATCTGTGAACAAGTCTGCCAGAGTGAGATACATTAATCTAAATAGCCAATAAAAAGTAAAACTAAAGGAGGCCACAGATTTTTCAAGGCCTAGAAGGAAAGCCTTTCTTGGGGCATCTGCTTCTAATTCACTAAGCACCACTCAGCCCCTCCTTGGCCATGGCTTTCCCATTGTTGGGCACTGGTGGATATAATGCCAACAACTATAGCACCAAGAATTGTGGGTGTGGTTGAACTGTATTTATTCTCCCTGTTGGAGCACCTGAATCAATCATATGAATTCACTGCTGTTTCTGACGACATGTTTCTACACTGAATGCATTTTAATGCTGTTTGTTGGCATGAAGACATGTAAGGGGTAGAAACTAAGGTAATTTTCATAATTATACTGAGATAGGAATAAGGGAGCATTTGAATGTTTGCAAAGAGAATTCTTTAAATTTTATTTTTCCTTATAGGAAAGTGTTGTGTCTCCACTGATGAAAACACTAGAAATAATGGAAATTCAGAAGTCAATGCGGTAAGGCACTATTTCCTTTATCAAAGAATTTATTGTATAAAGATGCTACTGTCAAAAGCAATTGAATTTTAAGCTAATTTTCATATTATCACATAAGACATAAGAAAAAAAAAGTAAAAGGGATTACAAGATAATATAGCAGAAAAATACAGTTAGGCTTTTCTCTATGCCTGTATGTAGTTAAACAGCCTGTTAAAAAAAATAGTTGCACTTATAGTCTCCTATTGCAGAGAAGATTTGCATAGAAGCTATCAAATAGCACTGTGCATCAAGGAGTGCTCCAATGAACTTATTCTTGTGATAAAACGTGAAACAGGGGATTTTGTTGAAGTATAAAGAAGTACAGACATGTCAAGTGGGAAAAAGAAGACTATAGTTTCTGCCGAGATGGTCAGCTGAACTTCTGTGCTTTTCTAGCCACTTCTAGCTTCCTTGGCAACTGATAATTCATTTACAAATTATAGTTTGGTTACATCTCTCTGTTTTCCTGCCTATATTTTATCATTTTATGTTCCACTAATTAGAATACAAGCAAGGGCCAGAAATGGGGTAAACTTGTTTTCCACTGTTAGACTCAAGAACGTCTAGCAGAAAGATTAAACTTGATATGATTTAGATTTTATAGCTACTTATAAGTGTTTCATGGATCTTTCATTATAGATGCAAGAAATACCTTAGAGCTCCCTACCTCTACCCTGAAAAATAAAAAATCCTTAAATATTTAAGAGAAAAAGTTATTCTGATTTGAATGATAAATATTTATAGGCCATTTTCTTGGTTCTAGCCTCTTAACAAAGCCAGACAGTAAAGGAACTGAAGAGACTGTGATGAGTGTCCATAATATGCCGTGATGTCATCCTGCCCTTCTTCACTGCAATGCCATGCACTGCCTTGTCAGGCCTGACAGTTTTATCTCAGCAAAGAATGAACTACTCTTTTCCAGTGCTGTGCTCTGAATGTGTCCTCAATAATTCACGTAATGTAAACTTGTAACTGCAAGTGTTGGGAGCGGACCTAATAAGAGATAATTTGGCCATGAGGGCCCTACCCTGATTGGGGGAGTGGGTTCTTGCAAGGATGATATGTTACGAAATGTGTTCAGCCCCCTCATGCTTTTGTTCTCTTGCCCTTCTGCCATGGATACAGCAAAGCGGTTCTCAACAGAGGCCAGCACCTTGATTTTGGACTTCCCAGTCTCCAGAACTGTAAGAAATAAATATGTTCTTCATAATTACCTAGTGTTACATATTACAAGACATCCAGTATTACATTCATTCATCAAGATATATGCGCCATTACTGACCCACCCTCCCACCTGCATTAGATTATGATTATGTAGATGCCAAGTGTCCTAACTTAACTTAGTAAAATAATTGTCTTATTTATTTACACTCCTGAGGCAGTAAGCCCAGGAGAGTACAGTGAGTTTCCACCTATAACTCAGGCATATACTACCAGGAACTGAGCCAAACTCTGGTCAACTGATGAGATAAGAGCAGTAGGAACAATGTCATCTCAGTGAAAATACAAAAAGCCAGGGCCTGAAAGCAACACAGTCGATTTGAGATGGTACACCCTAGGTTTATGTAAATGGTTGTATGTGCATAACCCACAAAATTTAGGATAGTTAAGTCTCAGGGATCCTGAAAAGTAAAAATCTTGGTATTTCCAAGAATTTTTAGGGGGAAAGTCCCCGTCAAGAATTGACCTAGCTGGAGTCAGGATGCTATGGTCAAGTGACCCTGACCGTGAAGATAATTTGATGAACTCTGTCTTAGTTGGCATATTGTTAATCAGCCTTCTAATAGATGTAGATTTCCACATAAATTTCATAGATTAAGAGAATGGAGTGCCCAGCTGTCTTTATTCCCCTTAATTTCAGTCATCAATTTACAACAAATCTAATGTTAATTTGTCAGTATAACCAGAGTTTCTGTAATTTAGCCAGTTAGTGTTGGCCATATAGCTTATTAAAACAAACAAAAAAACCCTGAAGTGTGTTATGACTGCCACCTGGTTCAGTTTTCTCTGTCAGCTGTTTTATAGTTTCATACTTTCTACATAGTTTTAACTCAAGTGTTTGCTATTTTGTGACAAATGTTCATAAACAATAAAGTATTAAAGCCTCCAACCTAAAGGAAATCTACATTAAGATGTTTTAGGTGTTTGACATCTTTGCCTCTAGTAATTTTGGTTCTTATTTAAATTGTTTCCAATAAGGAAATTTTTTTATTAATAAATATTCTTCAATAACACATCAAAATATAAGTTTAGGATATTCTGACTTTATTAAGTATATATTCGGGGTGTGAAAAAGTAATAGTATTCTGATTTCAGGTTTGGCAATGTAATAGACATTTTCTAGGTGTAAATATTGGGTTACTAAAGGGTGATTTCAAATTTAATTTGAGGGAAGCTATTTTTCCAGAAAAAAATCTTAGAAAATTTCTGTTAAATGCTGAGCACTTTCTCATTATGTTGAGATTAATGGCAAGGAAAGCACTGCCTTAAATGTATCATTTGATAGGGAGTTGTCCCATCCCCTTCTACCCTAAATCTAAAAATTATTTTGGCTCCCTGTGCTTAGAGTAGTAGAATGGTCCTGATATTCAGGAGGATCAACCTCGATCTGTCGGAGCCCACCCTGGCTATTTCTGTCCTCTGTGTAAGACAGGCTTGATACAGACACCTGTTCAATAGGACAGGAGGAAAGGTATTCCCAAGGGCTTCTAGGAGGGTGTTTGTGCATGTTCAGAAGTGACAGGGTGCTGTGTAAGGTGAGAATGCTCAACCACTGTAGTCCTTGTACTCAGTGAGGAGAAAAGACAAAGACTGAACTAACTTGGATAAGAAACAACCTGGGATCTTTGATCCAACCCTACCTCATACAGGTGGCCCTGAGATTGAGGGACTCAGCCATATCAGAGAGGCAGGGCCACAGAAAGTGACAGAGAATATAATTTATTATAAGGCTTTAACCTTCCAGGCCTGGTGTGTCCTTAGGTCAGCTGTGCCAGTGTCAGGAAGAACAGCTGGAGATCGAGGATGACCGGGAGTCTAGTGGGATGGATTGGAACCTGTTTGTCATCAGAGCTTCCGTAGTGATAATGGGGACCTGTAGATGTGGAAGTCTTGGAACTGTGCACATGCCTGGCCAACACTCTGCAAAGCCAGAGGAGATGTCAGAAAAGTTACAGGTCCAAGGGTCTGGCTTTCCACAGAGTGGTTTCTGATCTCTGTTAGCTCGCCTGTTTTGGCCTGGTGTAATATTTTATCTATCACAGTGCCCGAAGCCATATACTGACCTTTCAAGTATGAAATTAATATCTGCTTACTCATATTTGCCTGCCAGATCTGGTGCAAAATCTCTTGTGATCAACTTCAATCTAAAACTATGTAGAAAGATTCTGGGACACATCTGTCCTGCTTGAGTGAAACAAGTACAAAGCCTACACACCATCTGTCATTGAAGATTTTGATGTGTAAAACTACTTTGGTGGTTCAAGTTCATACCAGCATGTAGCTTACATGTGTGTTTATTATGAAGATTTTACCTGTAAGTTCAAAGTGTCTAACTATAGCCATATCTATATTATGGTGCTAAAAGAAAATCTTATAAACTCCCACTCTCCATGGCTAAAAATGTAGATTCACAGATGGAGGGATGAATCAGGCAAAGTCAGCTGACTTCAGTGATTATCACTTACCAACATTCCCTAGACATCATGGAACATAGCTGGTCTAAGGATATCCTGAGTCCTTTGCATTAGGGGGCAATAGGGGTGAGAAAACAAACATTAATTCAATTTTTTAATGTGAGAATTTAAAAGATTGTGTTTAATCTTTCATGTGAAATGTTAAAAGGTAGTTTACTTGCATTTGAGGATCAAAAAAACTATTAACCTTAGAATCAATGATATTCCATTCAATTTTTAGGCTTTTCTAATCACCTTGTTTGAAGATGTTTTCTAAAATGTTTGCATTGGACACTTGAGATTTTAGCCATAAAATAGCCTTCTCTAGTTATTGCCCAGCTATGCCCTATTCATGAATGGAGACACAGAATGCAAGCGCGTTCTGTGAAATTCTGGGACTTTTAGCAGAGGGGCTCACAGCCAGACTCATGCCAAGTCCTTTTCTTTTTTTGGTACAGGGGATCAAACTCAGGTTGCGAGGCAGGTGGCGGGACCGCTGAGCTAAATTCCCGGCCCTATGCCCAGTCCCTTTCTGAGGTGAGCAGAGCTTAGTAAGCTCTTCCTTAGCTTCTGTGGGACACAGGGAATTGCGGTGATTATCTGAGAGCAAGACCTAGTAATTAATGCACCCCAAAAACGGGTCTGTCACTCTGTTCTTCCCCTCCCTCCCCGCCTCATGAGGGAAGACGCTGCAGTCACAGCACCCAGTTCTCCCACGGCCCTAATGAGCAATGTCATCCGAAAACCTTCCTCTTGTGCTTGTGGCAATTGAGGGATTTTCAAGTTTTTCTTCTCTGAATGCTTCCAAGAAGTAATTTGTGCTTTACTCATTTTATTCACTGTTTGAAAGTTATTGTGACAAAGTCAAATAACATGGCATCTGTTTTGGGGACCCTTCAACGTCATGCAGCTGAATGCAAGTGGGGCACATGGGAGGCATCTACCTGCCAAGTCCATTATGAGACTTGCACAGAAGACCTGGAATCCAGTGCTGGCACGCTGCTCAAACTGAGGCCAGCATTCAGACCACTTAACTACAGCCCTTCACTAAGGACAGGTCCCTGAAATGGCTATTCAGTCATCAGTAAGAACCTTGACAGCTGCCAATGTCTCGGTCTTCTCATATTTAGATGTAAGTATATTCAGTGTCACCAGCTTTTATTCTTTGCTGTAAGAAATATATTTAGTCTCCCTTAGAGTTGTCAATGATAAATAATACCTTATCAACTTACCTTTCAGGACTACTAGTCATTCATTTATCATAAATAAGAAAAAGGGCTCAGCATGCACCAAACTTTAAAAATGAAAGAAAGGTAACTTCCTGCACTAGAAACTGCTGAGTGCTTTACAGGCACATTGTGAAGGGGAGTTAATATCACATTATCCATTTTCTCTCTCTTAATTTACTTTTCTAAGGCCAGACTGCATTTAAAAATGTTCCTGGGAAAATCTCAGTAAGAAATTAAGGCTCTCTTGCCTCTGCCAAACATTCAGATCAAAGTTCTTTATTACTCTTGCCACTTTGCCCATAAAATTAGGCCATTGGCCTCTACCATTGAATAAGAATAGATATTCAGTGAACCAGAGAGATAGAAAGATTCTGTTTCTATGTTTCGGAGCAGCATTAGAAATAAAAGGCAGTGGCCTAGAAAGCATGACTGTCGTGTCCTTGTTCTCCTTAATTACTTCAATTTTAAACATCTTCCCCCAGGTCTCCATATTGACATGGTACAAAGTTGTATTCTTGTCTACCACAAAAAGAGTTCACTTAGAATTTGAAGAAGGTCCATTTATGCTTTTTACATAATCTTGGCTCCCAGGACTTAACATCCCTTAACACAAACGAACTGAAGGACTAAAGCTCAGAGTCTTTTGAATTAACCTGAGACATATAACTAGTATGTTCCTCCTCCTTAAATGCTTAGCACTTCCATCTACTATCTGGGCAAGTAGAATTTATCAAACAGGGAAAGATTTTTATTTGAACTTGTTTTTGTTAAGATTTTAAGGAGAAAATAACTTACTCTTACATTGCCCCATGATACCCTAAGCCCTAAACTAAAATGCTATAAGAGTTACAATGTTGAATATCTGCTGTACCTTTCTTCCAAATTCTTGCATTAATCTTGAATTGGACTTGAGATTCTGGTCTCTCTCCATTTCCTTTACTTTGCTCGGCTCATGTTGCTGCTGCTTATATTTGGAAAGATATTGATTGGCTTGTGCTTCCTATAAAAACAAAAACTAAAAAGATCACTCCCTACTTTTTTTTCCTCTGACAGGAAAAAAAATTGAAATATGTGGAAAGAATCTAAAATTTCTGAGTAGTGAATGGAAAATTTTATATGAATCTGAAATAGAGGAATTCAAGTTTTGCAGCAGGCACAAAACTCACTTGTATACCTACTGATATTCCCTGGAAATTCAGGACCTTGTGGGCACATTGTGCAATTACTGCAGAGTCACTTTCACAGATGTGCTGGGTGCTGGGGTAACGATACTTGCTTGTTTTGTAAAAAGTTCAACATCCTCTTCTACTTGTTTTTGTTTGTTTGTTTTGTTACCAGGGATTGAACTCAGGACCTTGCACTTGCGAGGCAGGTGCTAGAACCACTGAGCTAAATCCCTGGCCCTTCTTGGTCTACTTCTGGATAGAGCTTGACTTAAAAATTGTAAGCCGGCAGGTAATTAATAAACATAGTAGTGTTTTAGCCCAAACATTTAATCCAAAAGCCCCTTATTAAACATGATTAGGCCAAACAGTATATATGTCACTTATCAATTACTCCCTGTAGCTATGGATATCAATCCAAGAGTTACTAGAGTTCTGTAGTGGACCAGAATTGATGGAAAATAAACATATGTAATTATGCAAGGGGATTTATTAGGCTGACAGGCTCTGAGGGAAGAGAGTCAACAATGGCTGTTTGCATGCTGGAGACATGAAGGATCCAACAGTTGCTCAACAAAAGAAACTAAAGCCACAGGACAAGAAGGATCAAGGATACAGCAGCAATCCAAGACTGAAGACCTAGAAAGCTCCCTCGGTAACTGCGTGTGTTAGAAGGTGGAGGAAACTGGAGTCTAACATCCACTATTGACAGCAGTTAAAGACATACTCACTTAAGCAGAAAGGAGGTTGTCAAAATGAAGCCACTTCCTTAGTCTTTTTATTACATCCAGGCTACAAGACTGTTGAATGGTGCCACCCACAACTCTGGGTGGGACTTCTACCTCAGTTTCCTTCTTTTTTCTGGTACCAGGGATTGAACACAGGACCTTGCTCTTGCAAGGCAGGCAACAGTACCACTGAACTAAATCCCTAGCCCATCTCACTTTGATGAACTACGTATCAATCATACCTAAAACATCCTGCAGAGATACCCAGAACTGTACTTTACTAATCTGCTAGGTGTGTCTTAATCTGGTCAA